TTAACTCCATGCGGGACATCCTAGTAATATGCGTTGAAACAGGTGCTAGGTAAGAAGAACAAGGTTTGCGGAAAAGTGGTGAGACAACATTCGATCCGCGGGCTGTTGATCCACGGATCTTTTGAAAACGTTTCGCCACCGTAGCCTTAGACACAGGATAGAGGCCTCACGATAAAAGCTAAATTTAGTTCTAGGGAAGATTGGAGTCATCGGGAGTAAGGGCAAAAGTTTCTTTTGATGAGCCTTATTTCGTGTCAGCATGTGCCAGCATGCCTCATTGGCCAATGAGACGCCTAAGATTACTCCACGTGTCAGCGGAGGAAGGAGGAACGAAAGAAGTGGGAGAGGAAAAGGAACTGTCTAACAAACAGATTGTTTAATCTGGTAACCTCCCTTTTATTAGGACTCGAGCATATTTTATACCGTCTCGTTGGTTTAGTTTGTAGAGGAGTTCCCTCGGACACCTTCACAAATTTGAGATATAGGAAGGAAGTCCATCAGGTCTGACAGCATAATGAATATCCTAAAATTCATTCACAGATGTTACAAGGTAGCTTGAACACACTTGCAGGTGCGATAGTACGATACAGGTGCGGGATAATATTAGTTATCGAACTCCAAAGCATACAAACTTTTGTAGGATAGTTACAAACCGTAATTTCCCTCTTTCATTGGATTAAGGATGAACACGAACAACCTTAGGGTGGTTGATTAAACTGTTATCAGAGAGGCATCGGTACGAGTATTGAGAGAACCATGGTCGTCAAAGCCCGAAAGTTTAACGGGGCGTAGTTTTGCACAGCTAAAATAGCCGCTCTGTGGGCAATAAGGATTTTCTATCATTTCACTAGCAACAGAGGGACGGAGGAGCAATGGGAATTGATATTTCTATTCAACCATATCTCCTGAAGACAAATCACTTCAGTTTTACTGTGTTCTGCTAACGAGACCTATCCCACATCGGAGTTTTTTAAGAATCGAACGGCAATTTGTTGAGAGGAGACCGGAAGTTGCAAAATGCTTTTTAATTGACGCTTAAGTGTTAAGTATCACGGGAGGACCGTACACTTGGCATCGTGGAAAGTGTTCGGTGACTATGCTGCAAGACGCACGCGAGATTTAAGTTCCCTTAAGATGGTACTGTCGTACTGCGCAGATGATTTCGTGCTCATATTGCATACAAAAAATGGTAGAGAAGGATCAGTGTATAAAAATGCACACCTTCGAAATTATCCACATGAATGGAGAGTATGAAGAAAGACGGCTCGACTCTAAAAGTCCGCATCGAGTGGTTGCACGTTTAAACAGTGAACAGTATAAACGCATCATCTGAGGCACCCAGTCGTAAAACTAGTATTTTCGTGAGATTGTGAGAGCATTTTTGTTTTATTCCCATTCTGCAATGCCTAAGTTTCCCAATACAGGACCGAAAGCTGTCAAACGCTGCAGTTGGGACGCCTGAAATCGAATTTGGCAGTACGGATGGCTCACAGCCTAGAGCGAAACCGTGAAACGTTCATCATTGTTTTAAAAAATTCACTTACCAGACAAAGCGGTTTGACCAGCGCTTGCCTTGATGCGCAGGTCCCTGAAGCGCATGGACATTTCAAGACATGAGATACCAAATGACACAGCAGAACGTCGGGCATCTTGGTAAGATCGCACTTGGTAGCCAGACATTATAAGTTGATGCTGTCGACGTACGTACTTGTTATCAGTAGGTTTGCTTACCTTGTCTAGGGAACTTGTTATCAGTAGGTGTGCTCTTACGGAGTTATGCAGGTCGTCCGTTTCGGTCAGGCTGTTGGGTTTAGTGAAGGTTAGGGTTAGCCTCCCCATTCCTGGCTACCAACTGCGATCTAACCGGCATTCTTAATTGTTGCTCAGGCAATACGATGGTTTGTTAGACGAAAATAGAATGTTGAGTGGAGATCTGTAGGCTGACAAGGTTTACCTATATGACGTAACGTTTATACTTTGAGCTCAACTTCAATGACAGTTCAAGTCAAAACTGACCCTTGAGCTCATTTTTTATGCATCCTCCAAGGGGCAAACTAACATGTCTCAAATTCTAGCCAGAGAAGAAATCTTAAAAACTTCATTCTTTATACAGGCAGCGAGCCAAAACATGATGTCTCAGAATGCCTCGCACGTCATCTGGTCTGAATTTATTCTCATTAGCCAGCAACCTGTTCATCTGCTATCACACTGTGTAATCACAGGTTCTGTCTAATGGCTTTGGAAAAACGTACTCGTATGACCGAAGCTCGCAAATAAATCTGTTCTGATTGGCAAAGTTGAGAGATCCGGGCTGATTATTTGAAGAAGAAGAAGAAAAAAAAATAAGAAGAAGAAGAGGAAGAAGAAGAAGAAGAAGAAGAAGAAGAAGAAGAAGGGCTTACCGGAACAGGTTTATTTGAATGCTGACGTTTCGAAGCGCTTGGTTGGCTCTCCATTGTCAAAGCGTAAAATGCACTCAATCGACCAGAAATCCCAAGTGGCGTGTCACGTTAGTCGGGCGACTGCAACTATGAGGGAGAAATTGGGCGGAAATTGCAGACTCGCCTACAAGAGCCCAAATCGGCTATTCGGAGGTTAGACCCAAACTCTCAATTAGCAACACACGTGGGAGAAATTGGGCATACTTTCGATCTCCAGCGAACCACCATCTTAGGCCTGGACAACACAAAAGCGGAACGGCTAACTCGCGAGGTATGGTTCTCCGATGCACACTCCATCAAAAGGCATCTGGACCTTCCTGCAGCTTAAAAAATCCTATGTTATCACAATCGTAGAGCTCAGGACCAAACAACCACACCGGAAGAAGAATAAGAACCTCCAGACCGACCACCCGACACTGCTTCAATCACCTCCCCCCGTCGGAGTGGTGACTCACAAAGCATGGAGAAAAAAGGCCCGTCAACCATCCCCCCGAGAGGCCGAGGCGGCGAGAGGAGAGAAAAATCGATCAGCACGAAGCCGACCAACTTCTTCTTCATCAAAGAAATCTGTTTTGGTGTCAAAGTGTTTGGTTCAGCAACAGAGGCCAACTATAAACAATATTTAGTTGCATCAATCGGCTCTGAAAATGCTTGGAAAATATTGCTGTGTTCATGCACAATGTATACTATGTTTCACTCTCATTAGTCAAATATTTACGCTGTTCTACTTCGTTTGTCAGACGACTTTTGAACCAGATCCCGGATTCTTTGATACTTAGGAATTGTCTCAATAAGGCGCTCTAAATCAAGCTGATGCACTTTGTGAAATCTTAAGGAAAATGGGTCATTAGAAGTCAGTTTGGCTGAAAAGTAACAGCAAAATAAGCCTAAAATGCCGACCACAAAGGCAGGACAGCCACGACCTCCCACTTTCAAATGCATCAGTAATCAGTCCTGTTTTAAACCAGAAATTATGGATTTGAGATGCGCAAAGAAACCTGTAGGACTATTCTTTACAAAAGGTTGTTAAAAAAGGACGAAGAAAAGTTGAATCTTTTGCAATTGTAAGTTGACACATTTTATTGCCCTTTATATGACGGGTTCACAAAACATACTCCGGGTTCGAGAGCCTTCGATTATGATACCCTTGCCAAAAAGTTGGAGCAACAAATGGGCAAATTGGTGTAGGCGAAGATCGTGCATTAGAAGGCGGAATTGACGTGCAGTCTGCATGATTTCGCTGCCAGTACCACTGGTGTATATTCCTCCACTGAAAACATTGAAGAGCACCTTTTTCCAATTTTTACTTTCGCCATCTTAAAGGCCGACTTAGTCTTGCTAATTTAACCGTTTCATGGCAATATGAGTAATGTCCAAAAATAAGGATGACAGCTGTTTTACATCGCACTTCTTAAGCCGTTGCGCTTGAATAACTTCAGTGTATTTTGCCGAACCTGTTTTTTAGTTTAGCCCGCAGCCCCCTTTTTAGTTCACGTCGACGAAAACGTGAAAACACAGAGCTAACTTTTCTCAAGACTGTTACTTCTAATTCGCTGGCACCCTTTAAGCTGCAGTTTTCACGAACTAGAAAGATTACCTGTAAACGAACATGTAAAGTTCATACGTATCAAAATGCATCATGATAGGGCTGCTTATAATTCTCACTAGGTAATGGATCCCAAACTAGCAAATACCTCAGACGGGCAGGCGAAGAAAATTAACTCCATTTGTACAAATCGAAATCAGTTCCCGTGCATTAGATACATATTTATTACGACCTCACGATCTAATGCGCCAAAGGGATCTCTTGTACAACTGTTAAACAGTATTTAAATTACGCACCAACAAGTAAATCATAAATCTGTATTTCGATGCTGCTACTCTAAGGGTCAAATATTCCATACATCACACTGACTAGTAACTGTCTCAAAAACCATGGAAACCTGCTTGTCTGTAAATCAATCAAACAGTATCAGCCCTAAAGGGAAGTTACCAGCAGCATCTTGCAATCTAATCCGGATCTTCGAGTAGTCATTTCAGTTGGTTCACATATCAGTGAGCCGCAATGTTGTTTAAACCGAACGAATTGTGTGAAAGCTATGGTTGCGAACGTGTACGTCGAAAAATAAACATTTTGACGCCAACTTAGGATCGATACTCCAGAACCACCTGGAATCTCTGCAAGTGAGGGTGCCTTGTCTCCGCATATCAGAACTAAGTAAGATCTCCCAACGGTACAGTGTACGACCCTCCGGTCAATTAAAGAGATCAAAAATGCCTTGAACAGGTATCCTATGTGGTAATTCTGACTTTCATGATGTCCTATATGCAAGACAGAAATCACTCCGGTTTATGCCGAAAGAATTATATTAACTGTTCAGTACTGGTCAAAGGCCCGTCGGTTAAGTTGTTGGTATGTTTAAAAATTAAAAAGAGGTTGTGATTGTCAGTAACATAAAGTTGGGACGGGAAGGCGCGAAAGTTCAGGAGAAAACCAAATGAAAAGTAAAAAACAGAATGTCATTAAGTGGACGTTAAATTAGGTGCAGGCTGAGCCATCTAGGCTTCCAAGTCACCCTCCTCTGGCAGTTCTTCCATCCCGTCCTCTTCCTCCTCGATGCCGGCCTCCTGGTACTGTTGATATTCGCTCACCAGATCATTCATGTTTGACTCGGCTTCCGTGAACTCCATCTCATCCATGCCTTCGCCGGTGTACCAATGCAAGAAGGCCTTTCTGCGGAACATTGCCGTAAACTGTTCACTGACCCGCTTGAAGAGTTCCTGAATGGCTGTGGTGTTGCCCACAAAGGTCACTGACATTTTTAGACCGCGAGGAGGAATGTCGCAGACGGCAGTCTTAACATTGTTGGGGATCCACTCAACAAAGTAGGAGTTGTTCTTGTTCTGAGCGTTCAACATCTGGTCGTCGACCTCCTTCATAGACATGCGTCCACGGAAGATGGCCGCCACGGTGAGGTAGCGCCCGTGGCGAGGATCGCATGCGGCCATCATGTTCTTTGCATTGAACATCTGCTGGGTCAACTCGGCCACGCTGAGTGCACGATACTGCTGGCTCCCTCGACTTGTCAGCGGCGCAAAGCCTGGCATAAAGAAGTGCAGGCGCGGGAATGGTACCATATTAACGGCCAGTTTGCGCAAATCTGCGTTTAGTTGTCCGGGGAAGCGCAGGCAGGTGGTCACACCAGACATTGTTGCACTCACCAAGTGGTTTAGGTCACCGTAGGTGGGGTTAGTCAACTTCAGAGTGCGGAAGCAGATATCGTAGAGGGCCTCATTGTCAATGCAGAATGTCTCATCCGTGTTCTCGACAAGTTGGTGGATTGACAAGGTAGCGTTGTAAGGTTCTACGACGGTGTCGGAAACCTACGCATTCCAAGAGGAAAAACCACTTTAGCACTCAACATGGAGGTAATTCGTGGGAAAAACGCGGAGTGCCAGCTGCTAAGAAGGAAGAAAGGGTCCCTGTCTTTGCTTAAAGGAGTCTATTCAGCACTGTGGGCTGCAGGATAGGGCTAAGAATCGACGTTTATTTGCGTTAACAATTAAAAAAAGTACAGGAAACTACTAAACTCTTTACCAGAAGGGAAAAGTCGTATTGATCGCCATGTGTTCCCTGGCGGAAAAGGCGATAGAGCTAAAGTGTTAAGCTGCGAAGAATAAAACAAGCTGTGCTACGTGAAGCATACGCCAGGCAGGAATTTTAAAGAAACCTGGAGAAGGATAAAAGGTTACTGAAAAAAATCCTGATATTTACATGCGCAGATGGATTATTCGCTAAGAGACTGAGCTACACTAAGAAGCTAAAGAATAGATAGTCTTAGGTGAAACAGCAAGACAAGGCTCTTTCACATCACCTACAAGGTGAAGACTCGGTTTTGCTTAACTAATGGCCTAAATCCGGCCTCCTACGAAGTCGGAGCTATGTATTTTATCTAATATAAACGCTCTTGGCGAAAAATTTGCGCTTGTTTGTCTGCCAGTCGGGTTGCAGAAATTCAAGCATTGAATGTCTTTATTTGCTGTCGGAGATTAGAGCTATATTGAAAATGGAAAGATATATGTCTAGGTTACCGACATCGTCCAGAAAATTGTTTACGTCAATTTCGCGGACGCTTTAAGTTCAGCAATCCAAACTTGAGTGGGATTTGAGAGTTGACATTTACTGTAGGCAAGGAACTATACTTGTTGATTAAAACTGAGCTGGAGTACGATTGCACAGTTCAGTTATAATACATCGCTACGTCACTGCATCCAGTACTAAAACAAAGACAACATAGAAATGCCGACATAAGTTACCCCCACCATAAATTACAACTGCTACTTAAATCCATGACCAAACTGAAAGAACTGGCGGAAACGGAGCACAGGCGTCTACCAGTTCGCCTACTTCTCCAGCGCCCATGAGCAGACATGGTCTGAAATAAAAGTTTGAACGCCACACTTTCTTAAGGATGTCTTGACACGACAGCAAGCGTATGCAACCATGCATTAAAATGAAGACGTGGTAGATTTCGTCGAGCAAGTGGTGGTGTGGAAAGGTCACTGGGCGTAAAACAAGAGCATTAAAATAACCTACTACCGGAAAAATTCATGTTTTTGGAAGTAGGCGTGTTTCGGTTTTCTAATTGCTAATAGGGTAATCACCTTTGGCGACGGCATGACAGAAAACGTGTTCATGATGCGGTCGGGGAACTCCTCGCGCATTTTAGAGATGAGCAACGTTCCCATGCCAGAGCCAGTGCCACCACCAAGCGAGTGGCACATCTGGAAACCTTGGAGACAGTCGCAGGACTCGCATTCCTTTCGGACGACATCAAGGACCGAGTCGACCAGTTCCGCTCCCTCCGTGTAGTGGCCCTTGGCCCAGTTGTTGCCGGCACCACTCTGGCCAAAGACAAAGTTATCGGGACGGAAGAGTTGGCCAAAGGGGCCAGCACGCACACTGTCCATGGTACCGGGCTCCAGATCCACGAGCACAGACCGTGGAACGTACTTGCCGCCACTCGCTTCACTGTAGTAGACGCTGATGCGCTCCAATTGGAGGTCGGAATCACCGTGGTAGGTCCCAGTGGGGTCCACTCCATGTTCATCCGAAATTACCTCCCAGAACTAAAATAAATACAAAATGACATCACCTAGTGTATCGATCAGTACACATTGTTTCATTAGGGCTGCGTTAAACGTGTTAGCTTGCCTTATCCGATTAGAACGAAAATAATGTGACATAGCAAGTTGATGGACGCAAAGATATCTAACTTGCAGCTAATTAAACCTCATTATAACTGTTCGTGCCACAAAAGGCGACGAGGATTGTTGAAGTTGCTTGCAGACCAAAGGTGTTATATAAGTAAAATGAAGTCAGTGCCGCTGAGTTATGTGTTCAATAAATTAATCGTGACTTAGGCCATGACCACGCAGAAATTTCTTCTGTTAACTGAGGTAGACAAATGAATTTCCCGCAAACAAAAACCAATGAGGTTTCGTAAAACGCAAACGGTCACTTTCCCCGAAATAAGCCTGTGCAACGAATGGGTGGACCCTATTTTTGACATGTACGGTCATAATAACTTTTCTATGTAAATGGCATATGTACAAATAATTTACAGATTATTGGGAAAAAAGTATACCAAACAGAGAATTGACGAAGAACAGTCATAGCGTAATCAGCTTCTGAAATAGAAGCTCGGAAAAAAATCTGGTTGAAAAACTGTAGCGTTATGCTGGTCCCTAGAGGACAAATGGCCTAAACTGAAAGAGAACGTTTAAATATAACAATCTTTCAATAATCTTGTTTCATTGCGTGGCGTTTGGAATCGACTCGTCACATAAACAATGTTACTCAGGGGTTGTTCAGGCATGTCAGTTTAAACGTACCTTCGAACCTATTTGGTTACCACACTGCCCTGCCTGGATGTGTACAATCTCGCGCATGACTCGAATATGTGGCCGAAAACTCGCAACTGATGCTGTCGCCGCCTCGAACAGTTTTTTGACCGCACGCCTCTTTGGCCAACGATGCCATTGGTTGAGCGACAACCAATGCCAGTACGACGAAAACTGTTCATCCGCAGCCTTTTGCCCAAGCTCGTTCAATGATTGCTACTGGAGGACATTCTGTAATTTGGGTTGGCAACACCGACGAGGAGACGGCCGATGACTAACGCACTATCGCGCACCCTGCCTAAGGGCAGTCAGCCTCCTCCATCCGACCGGGGTGGCGAAATGCCAGCCCCACACTACCTGGGTCAGGCATGACATTAACAATTTCCCCGAGTAAAGAAAGATGAATGCCAAGCTACCGTGCTATGTCCATGCGTGTCCGACATATGTGCAATGAAGAGGAAAAAAGTGACTAACAGCTAGTGTTGCTGAAGCGAAGATCTCTCACCTATCTTGAATGCTTAACATGCAACATTTTCCCGCATACGACGGACTAGATGCACAAAATCGACGTGCGACGATAGGATTACTTGAAACCAATCGTAATTGTAGTGGAGATTTTCATGAGTAACTCTTCAAGTAGATAATCCAGCATCGTTCGTCCAAAAGTTACTTATTTTTATTGCATAATATTTTTTGTTCGAGTGTGAACTGCGCATTTTTTTCAACAAATGAGGTATGGGTATAACATATTCGCAAAATTTTTCTCTGTTTCGTTTTGTTTTTACTTAGGACATTTAGCATCATAGCACCAGTTTAACGCTTCAAAAACAGTAGGACGAGGACGATGTTAGACAAAACCCGCCCTTAAAAACTGACGGCGTTATTATACTGGTAGGCTAATCCTTGATTAAATGGCTTCCCTTTGACGCGGGGTATTATAAAATCATATAGTTTCGAAAAAGAAACAAAATGCAAGTTTGCAAACTTCTGCATGCACTTTGGCAAGCATTATACTCGGAGATGTCTTCGGTTTCTCCAATCAGAAAGGCATTTAGAAGGAAACCACGGAAATGGGTGGCTATCTTAGCAGGGTGGAGAATTTCTCTGGGCCTCCACTTAGGTTTGAGGCTCTAAAACTCGGTGTCACTATCATACAAAGCAGTTCGGCATGTAGATAATTTATACATCCTAACTTCACATGTGCCATTCTAAACTTTAGGTTTTTGCCCACAGCCCCTGATTTATCTGCATGAATGATGGCGGCAGTAACGGCGATGATTACTTTCTCAAAATTCCAGCACCCTTCTGCATCTCTTTAAGACGAATGAATAAGGCGCATTCCTGTCCTGAAATACAATCCAGCAATATAAAAAGTTCTATGGATGTATTATTCTGGTACGATTTATATTTAACCGGACGAAGACACTCGTGTTCTGATAAAGAGGAAGATAGGTTATTTTAAGTTGCAAAAGTGTTTTCGTCCGCCTCCTTTCCCAGTCAAGCGGTTGAACTTTCTTGCGAATAAAGAAGAAATGCGTTGGTAGTAGGAAGCGCATTCAATCGGTTTATCGACTTGGCGTCGGCGTACAGAGCCCTGTGCAGCCATCTCCATTTTTGCGTCATTTATCGATGATTGGCTAGCACGGCCTACAATTCTCGCTCGTTCTCATGTTCCTACTAACTCTGACGATGGAGTACTCCATGAGTTCGAAATCTCAGAACAATAAACAGACCCTTACGATGCTCTACCAGTATTCTTCTTTACGTATACATACACATGGAACTCAAACTTTTGCCTTCATTCAGGAAACAAATTAACATACACGATTTTTTTCGAAGGGATAATAATGGATATAATAATGTTTGACTCGAACCCCCAAAACTTTCTCGATGCGGATGGAGTCAGCTTCATTCAAACACTTGTTCTGCCAGCTCCAACTCGATTCTGTGTCAGACCGACTACGTCTTTTGCTGCGCCAATGTCCCACCATTAGAATTCTCAAAAATAACATGCTGGAGTTTTGCGCTCACTTCCCATAAGACGTCTGGAGCAAGGCGCATCCTTTGGTGAACAGTTTTAACAACCTTAAATGAGCAGTTGATGATTAATTAAACATTGCATGTGAGTCCCCATAATGTCCTGCGGAGGAATACTTATTGACCCAGGTCTACGTAGTTGTTTTCTTGCTAGAAGAGTGATCTGCGCAATTCATGAGTACAAATATTGATTGACTGAGGCGATAGGTACTTTATTGCTGGTCTCCCCCTTTGCTTATCCTCCAGCAACACTGCCGCGTGGAAAGTGCTTGTTGTGAGTCATGACTCTCAGTTTGCAATTTTTAAGCACCGTTGAAACAGAGCCTGTGTAGTGGTTCAGGAGGCCAACAAAAGGCTGATGTGTGTGTAAGGAAGAGTTTTTGTTGATGAAGCGAGTTTCATTGGCTTACTAAAAATACCTGCTTGAGCATACTATCTGACTAATTTGACCCAGCCATCTATCCTAAACCTTACACTCCCGCAGCCCGAGATCCAGCCAGAAAATTGTTTTTTCCCTCTCTGTCTACTGCGTTGTGCGCACTCAATGACCTTTTTTTTATCAAAGTGGTGCAGCTGCAGTCGGCGCACAAGCTGGTGTTTAACAGTTCAGTTTTTGCTAAAGAACAACAGCAAATAATATTAAGAACGTGCAGTTCAGCAACATTCATATTATCTAATTCCGAAGCTCGCTCGGAGAGCAGTCCTTTGCAAAAAACTGTAGCTGGCATACAGGTCGCCAACCACCGTCTTTGTTCAGCATACTGCTGCCCTGAACACAAGCAATTGCAGTCTAGCTGGCCTTATTAAAATCTGACCTACTGCAACACGCGCCTCCAGACAACCACAGTGGTCCGTACCTTGTGTACTGCAACACAACATTTGGGCACAACACACTCGAATTTACTCCCCTACAATCATAAAAAAACCAACATCTTGAACGCCCTTTCTGATGTTATCCTTTAAGCTTTCAATAAAAGTTGACATGGTGGAGCTAACTTTATTTAATTCCACTCTGAAGAACCTGGGACTTTTAGTGAAAGAATATTAAAAAGAGACAAACACCGAGCGTAACATCAACATTTGCTTTTTGCGTCCTTTTTTCTCTGAAAACAGATTACTTGCACCGAGGTCAAATACTGAGGAATTTGACCTGTACGGGCACGTGCTGTTCACCAAAACTGTTATGCTTACTGCTGCTATGACCTTGTTAGTATGATAAATCACTGAATTAATTTCATAACTACGCCGCTCAGTCCACGCGAGTGAGTGTTTATCGTTTCATAACGGCACGCTTACTAGCAGTGACCTTGGTCAACGAATATCGAAGGCGTGCTCTGAGTTGCAAACAAGCATGCCGGTTATTTGATTTCCAATTTAGTCGTTGAGGTGCAGTGTTATAACCGAGTTCAGCATGTCAGGAGTTGTGTGACATATATCCGCTATGTTCGCCTGTTATGCCCTAAGTTATTCTCTTGAAGGTTTGCCTCTGCAAGTTTCAGTCGTTGACCCCTTCCACAACACCATGCAATATGTAAGGAGAAATACCGCCCACGCGCTGCGTCCTCTTTCGCAAGTCACTTTTTTCAACTTCGCAAAGAGCACATAACGGTGGTGGAACAGCCAATACCAAGGTTTATCTTTACCGACTGTCTAAGACGTCTTCAGCCGGCTTCTGCGAAATATGAAAACTGACACTGTCATGGCTAGCGAATTTCGTAGATTCGCTGAGTAACACAACTGTTTTGAAAACAACTGGATAATCCACAAAACGTTAAAGTTAACAACAAATGAAATAACACTCCAAAAACCAGACGGTCCTAAAGTGGTTAGATTGGTCTGAGGACTGTCAGGTCGGCTGCCTGAAGCCAATGGTACTTAACAAACCTCCCTCTGCTAAAACGGCCCTCATCAAAATTTCTCAAAGCACGAATTGGTGAAAGTTGATCAGTCCTTGAAGTACCACAATATCCGCAGCCAGAAACTTCCAAGCAACAATTACAGCAAAGCATCCTGAAGACAAACGACTGAAAATATTGCAGAACCTGTCATTTTTCATTTAACCTTTCTCATGCAACCGCTGTGGAAAAAACAGCTCCAATCGTCTCCAATATTCCATATATTTGAAATAAGGTACATGTGGGAAGAAGAAGTGAGGTGGGTTCCTCGAAAGTCCATTTCATTGTTGGCAATTTGAAGGCAAGCAACAACAAATTCGAACAGAGATGTTTCACATCAATAACATTGGATAGTCTGTGGTAGTGGATAAACCAACAGATACGCCATTTTCGATGGAATAGATTGAAACATATACCTCCGACAAGCATTGTTTGTCTCCTACAGTGTTTTTTTCACGAGCTTCAAAGAGAGCACACATTTACGGAAGCATGGATGACTGTATTTTGTTCTATGAGAAGCACAACGCCCGACTATACTGTCAACTTTCTGAATCTTGTTATGCACGTTTCTGTAGCAGTACCCAGCCTCTGAAGCATAGTGGCCCAGGAATATGCGGGGCCACGTATCACCCTTCTGGGCCTAAAGGCTCTGAGCATGGTTGCCCAGTAATCCTCGTCTATCTGATCCGTTGTGGGGTGTTGTTGATAAAAATCCTGGTCAAGTGTTTGTTGTGAACCAGGGGGCATGGAGTGGCACGCCTAGGTGTGGCTCCGGCCATGCTAGCCACCTGCACCCTACCTCGTCTGCGGTCTTCTTGACTATGTCTTAACATCAGGTCCAGTTGAAGGAGAGAGTGCGGTAGATGTTGCGCAAGTCTGCGCTCACTATAAACTAACTCACGCGCTAGTCACCGTGCCTGTATAGCACACGGTAGACATTGTTGGGCGTGGCGGTCGAACTTTCGTGGTTGTTCGTCGTGTTTGCTGCTTCCGGGCAATAAAAACTTTGCTTCTTTCCCTATAACAATAATTACTTTGTCGTATTTTTGACAGTTATGATATTTTCAGTTTTAAATAACAATCTGCAAGTCCGCAGGAGGGAGAAAACAAAAGTGG